AAGAAAAGGTTTAATTGGACTTACAGTTCTACATGGCTAGGGAGGCCTCAGAATCATGGCAAGAGGTGAAGGGCACTTGTTACATGGTTGCAGCAAGAGAAAATGAGGAATAAGCAAAAGAAGAAACCCCTGATAAACCTATCAGATCTCGTGATACTTATTCACTATCATGAGAACAGCATGGAAAGACTGGCCCCCATGATTCAGTTACCTCCCCTTTGGTCCCTCTCATAACACATAGAATTCTGATAGATACAATTCAAGTTGAGATTTGGGTGGGGACATAGCCAAACCATATCATAAGTCCCTTAGTATGCACAGGGAATTGACTCTGGGACTTCCTGAGGATACCAAAACCCACAGATGCTCACAGTATTTATGCAAATACCATGAGTTTTTGCATGTTTCTTATAAAACATAAATACCACGTCATGTTTTATAAGATACTTTAAATCTTCTCTGGATTACTTTAATACCTAATACGATGTAAATGCCATTTAAATATGTGTTATACTGCATTTTAAAATTTTTGGTTTTTATTATTGTATTTTTATTTTTTTGCATTTTCTAAATATTTTAGATTCACAGTTAGTTGAATTGAGGTACAGAAGGCTTACTATACTTAAATATATTAATTTCCATCTAGAACTATATTTTGCTTTATACTGATTATGATACCATTCTGATGTGCAGAGCCTGATACTGTGTTAGGTAGTGCTTTCACTTTGTTTTTTTTTTTAACCAGGTTATTATGAGTAACATAATAATTGTAGTGGTTTTCCTCTCTTGCTTATTTTTTGATTAGAAAATAAAGACCCAGAAAGGTCTCAGCTAGTGTCCTTTATATTACCCCATAGCACTTAGCATGAATCTAAACAAACAGGACTCAGTAGATACTCAATGACCTAAATGCTTATTTTATTTTGCAAAACTCTCTGTGTTTGTTTTCTTTCCAACTTTCTCTACAAAGATTAATTTTAAAGTATTCACAAGAAGTAGCCAATAGTGTAGAACAATATATAACTTTGAGTAGGTCAGGGAAATTGCATGAAAAATAATAACATGGACTTGTGAATATAAAAATTTGTAGATAATTTAAAAGAAAACATAGGATACAATCATACTTTGAACATTTGAGGAAAAAATAATGTCCCATTTCTGAAAATACAACCTATAAATCATGTATTCAGCATATTATCTATTTTATTCGAACATTTTCACCATTTAAAACCATTCTTTAAATTATTGAAATAGAAACAAAACTGTTGTGTTTCTGATTATTTCTTAATTATCTACAATAAAAATGACTTTCTACCATGCATTCCACCTACATCTAGAAACTTAGATTTCTAATATTGCTATTTTTACATAAATAATATTTTCCATTAAAAATGTATCTAAGGCTAAATTATATCTAAACTCATCATTAACATTTTTAATAGTTGAAATTTTATGTTTTCTATCTGTATAACTTTAAAATACAAGTATTATAGGTACTGCTTTTACATTGAAAAATATGTTGTAACACAGTAGGGGTTAATAAAATATTTTTATGACATATTTTAAAGGCCTTTGTTGAAGCTACTTCCCTCTTGAGAGGTTTTTCATTTGTTCTTGGGGACCAAAAAATTTTAGTTATTTGAGATATTTTTGGATCACACAGGTGACATGAACTGGAACACCAAACCAAGGGCCACCTTTGGGGTTATTTATGATTGCTCTACTCAGCCTCATGGAAACAGAGAAATTTCCTTGATGTCCCCTTCTTTAGGTTTTTTTCATTTTTTTGTTCTTTTCATTTTTCCCTCTCTTCCTCCTTTCCTGCACCCTCTCCACTCCACAACCCACATCTCTCTCTTTCTCATTTCGACTCACTCGGATGGCACAGCCCTCCGAGACCCCAGCTGTCCACTGTGGTCTCATGATATACTCTCTCTTTTGGGTGGATCCTATGCTTTATCCTCCATCACCAACCTACAACCAAAAAAATTGGCTTGCATTTCAAATATTTACTAAGGTTACTGATTTCACTTTGGTTTTGGCTTTTGCATTTTCTTCCCTCTCTGCCAGCTTAGCAATGAAGTTAAAATACATTTAACATATTATTAAGATTTGACTTGTTTTTATCAAAATTGTTCTCTGAGTCTATTCTGCCATATGACAAAAATGAATGTCAAGAATATTTATTTTGAAAGATTAAAGATATATTATGTGTACTTATATTTTTATCTATCCTAAATGAAATTATTCTTTAATTTAAATGTTTTTGAAATAACATTATGATTGTCAGCAAAATTTCTTTAAAAAGCTGATTTTATAATATCATAGGGTAGATAATCCAGCAACTATTTTTTAATACCTACAATGTGTCAGACACATCCATTTTTAAATTATGAGCTTTTAGTATTATAATTATTCCACTTCTACAGAAATATTGGTTTACAGAAATATTGGATGGAAAGTAGAGTGTTCCCATGTACCCTCACAACTGCACCCTAGCCATATTAATAGTTTCTCTTATTATTAACACCTTGCATTAGTGTGGTACATTCATGACAACTGAAGAGTTAACATTCATGAAGTATTATTACAAACATGACTTTTGATATATAGTTTTGGGTCCTTTCAACAACTAGACAAAATAGGTACTACCTCCAATTTTGAAGGTAGGGAAACTGAGATTGAGTACTAAATCTTGGATTCACTCAGAAATGTGTAAGAACATGAACTCAGGCCCTTATTTTCACATTTCTTTCTATTTTAGCTACTTTGAGTAATACTATACTTTAACTATCTTTTGCTTGATGAAATATATGCTTGGTATTATCAAAGCAATTCATAATAGGAAAGCATTTTATCCTAAGATCTCATTTCAATTACTAGTATGCATATCTCATGCTTTCCTAGTGTAACTGTAGTAAATTAGGATTAGGACACTAATTTGTGGTTGCTTTTCCCTATGATCATACTGGGAATGAAAACTACTAATTCTTTTGCAAATACTCTTACTGTGGCCTAATTTGTCAGTTTTAAAAAATGTTTTATTGTGTTTGTTAAAGGAAACAAGATGATGAAATGGGATACGTGTAAATAGTAAAATAGTTACTATAGTGAAGCAAATTAGCACATCTGTTGTCTCACATTGTTTCCATTTATTTTGTTTTTACCACAAGAGCACTGAGATCTTTAGTGGGAATCCCAAATGTGGGGCAATTTTTTTGCCTGTGGTCTTCAGGTTGTGTATTATATCTCTAGACTGTTCATCTTAAACATCTGCTACTTTGTGATCTCCCATTTCCTCTCCATCCTCCACCTCTAGTAACTAATTTTGTTCTCTATGTCTGTATGTTTGACTCTTTTTTTTCAGATTCCACATACAAGTGAAACCATGCAATATTTTTTCTTTCGTTATCTGTCTTATTTCTCTTAATGTCCTTTAAGTTCACTTATATTGTGGTAAATGGCAGGATTTCTTTTTAAGGCTGAATAATATTCCATTGCATATATATTCTATAGTTCTTTATTTGTCCTTTGATATTAAAGTTGTTTTCATGTCTTGGCTACTGTGAATAATGTTCCAGTGAATGTGGAAGTGTAGATAATCTCTCCGAGGTGATGATTTCACTTCCTTTGGGTATATGCTGAGAAGAGGGATTACTGGATCTTATGGTAGTTTTATTTTTAGTGCTTTAGGAAATTCCATACTGTTTTCTAGAATGGTTACACCAATCTAAATTCCCATCAACAGTGTACAAGTTGTATCCACACCCTTGCTAACATGTGTTATCCTAGATGTTTTGATAATAGCCATCCTAAGGAGTCTAAAGTGATATCTCATTGTAGCTTTGATTTGCATTCCCTGATAATTAATGATGAGTATATTTTCATATACCTGTTGTCCATTTTTATATCTTTTTTGGAGAAATGACTATTCAGATCCTTTTTTAATGTGGCCCAATTTAATCTTGTTGTTATAAGGCCTTTCTCTTTGTCAAATAACAATATAGAGCTACATCAACCCAGCAACAATACCTTATTTCTTATAACACCTCAAGTCATTAATTTCTTTTTAGCCATATTGATTATTATTCTTCTTATAACTTTAACTGGTTTTTGGCAGCTGGTTATGTTTTTGTTTAATAACAACTATAGGACCTAAATAGCAAACATATACTACCTTACCTGTAAATTATTTCTGTGTATAATGGTGGCCACAGTAAATCTATATCTTTTATTTATTAATTGGGAAGTCATTTTATGCATAAAGATAGATCTATACAAGTAATCTATACAAATAGTGGTTTATGTTGATTTAAATATTATTATCAGAACTGATTACACTGTAATGTAAAAAAGTCCATACCGTTTGTCTTAAAAGCAAACATGTGTTGCATCTAATTTATTTCAAGTATGGTTTACCCCTCAGTACTGGTAGGAAATCGGTTCCAGAATCTCCCTTAAATATGCAAATTTACAGATGCTTAAGTGCTTTATATAAAATTGGGTAGTATTTGCATTTAATTTATACTCATCTTCCCAAATACTTTAAATCATCTCTAGGTTATACATAATACCTAACACAATAGCTTCATACCTCTTCATTCATGTGGATTCAACAAAGTACTTGTGTAGCAAATTCAAGTTGTGCTTTTTAGAACTTTGTGAAATTTCTTTTTCTGAATATGTTTTATCTATAGGTATTGAATTCATTACTGGGAAATCCATAGATACAGAGGGCTGATGGTCTTCTGTATATTAGTTGAACCCAGTTTCACCCATCCCTTCCCTCAACACTTTGGCTTAATAGTAACTTTGAGTCTCTTGGCATGATATATAAAGTAACACACTCCACCTGAAGGAAATGAGCCCAAGTCCAACCTTTTGCATATTCAAACACAACCATCATTAGTTCCTGTAACTTACAGAATTTTAAAAGCATGATACATTACTATCATATTAATTGAAAATATATTAATATAACTGTATGTTTTATATTATAGTGAATGGACATCCAATACTCAAACGAGCTAACATTCAGGCTGTTGGAAAGTTGGTGGCTGGATCCATAAGAGAAAGGAAAATGAGACAACATTATAAGTCATGAAAGGTTGAATGATTTTACTAACATATTATTACCTACAATAGTGAAACCTCTCTACCCAAAGAGAAAAGTTAACATTGAAGATGGATCAATTCTGTAACAGTAGGAAGAAAGGATAAAAATCTTTTTATATATAAAGGACTTTGACAAGTTCATCTGTAATTTCTAGTGTCTCCGGATGAACACCATTCATTTGATCTTCTGTTTTATCATAATGAAGTAGGAACTTGCATAGTGTCAGGTACTCCTTTCATTGGACTATCATTTATGTTGTTCCATTATCAATAAATAACATAAAGAAACTTTAAACTTTTTATTTCTAAAATGCACGAATCTGGTATACAATACTGTCCTTTATCACTTACATTTTTGGGAAATGGTTATTTGAAACTGTGTTAATTTTTAGTATAGTCGTGGTATTATTTTTCCCTACTCATTGCTCATTCTAAATTTAAAAAGTAAGAAGCAATGTACAGTATTTCTGAGTTGATCTGCCTTAGCGCTGAAAGAATTTTTATTGTTGTTGTTGTTATGGAGTTTGCCTCTGTCACCCAGGCTGGAGTGTAGTGGCGCAGTCTGGTCTTGCTGCAGCCTCCACCTCCCATATTCAAGTGATTCTGCTGCCTCAGTCTCCTGACTAGCTGGGACTACAGACACATGCCACCACCACACCCAGCTAATTTTTGTATTTTTAGTAGAGACGGGGTCTCACCGTGTTGGCTAGGCTGGTTTCAAACTCCTGACCTCAAATTATCCACCCACCTCAGCCACCATGTCCAGTCCCAATGCTGAAAGAATTTGAAGCAAAGTTTTCTTAAGAATCTTGAATTTAATTTGATCTATTCATCTAACCATCTTTCTGTTTTGAATGGAATTAGAGAAACAAGTGAGGAACAATGACTGAAGGAAGAGAACCTATGCATAGCATGGAAGCTAGATATGAAAAGAGCTGGGAACTACATGACAAATGTCCCATTGTTTTCACAGTTTTTACTTTGCATCAATTACTTCTGTAATAGTGTCTTTGGTTTTAAAAAAAAACAAAAAACTTTCAAGTTAGTTTTATGCAATTAAGTTTACTGGAAGAATATCTATTCAAGTTATGCAATTTTTAGAAAAGCCAATTACAAGAATCATGTTAAGTCAGGCCTCACCCAATCCAAAATTAAGATGAACTAAAAACCATGATAAAGCTCTAACCAGAAAATTGTAACAGAAAAACATTTGATGTGGGGAGAGTAAGTGATTACTAGCTAAAGCTAAAATGTAGAATTTGGCTTACATGTGAAATTTAATTATTCATATTCTCCTTATTGATAATTGAATTTTATTTTAAAGATAGAAATATTTTTTGTTTATATATTTAAAAAAACAGAAAATGCACCACTTTTTAAAAAAGGAAAAAATTACACAAGTCGAATATAAGCATAATACAAGTCAGCCTGCTCCTTTTTAAAATATAATTAGAACAAAAATTTGGCTAGATTTCAACCACTGCTCTTCCAAAAACATTAGGGGCAAAATCATGGAGTTATAATGAAAGGCACTTACATAATAATATAAAATTTCATAATAAGTATTGTATAATCACTATTTCAAGTAGTAAATATATTTATAAGAGAAAATTAATAATGTCAAAATTACTTTATAAAAATATAAAAATTGTTACAATTATGACAGTTTGGGACAGGATGAGGAAGTTCACTTTTCCTTTAATAAAATGTGATAGTTCTTGTTTCAGATTTTTGACATTTGACTCCTTGATTTTTACCAAGCTGAATGTCTTTTGGAGGTGTGAGCCTACATTAAGTTCAGTGACAATATTTCACTCTAGACCTGTAGAAGACGGTGTAAGGTCATGGAAAAGAAGCCTTCACTTTTCAATAGTCAGTTTCTATATAAAAATTGGCACTTGGTGCTCATCAAAGAACAAGAAATATTGGATATGCTCTAAATGTCCATTGTGTTTTTGAGCCAACTACCTGATGGAAGTCATCACTTATATGTAAATGAACTGTCAATGGCTTGCCACAGTTGGCAATCACTGAACTGTGAAGGGTATGTCTTAATAAGAACTGAAGCTCTTCACAGATTTTGATTTACTGGAAATAAAATAGAAAAGTCCTCTGAGACTACAAAGGACACTTGTTTCAGATAAAACATCTAGACAGTAGCAATACATTTAAAGCTTTTATTATAGCAAAACTGCAAATTAGAATGGAGTGGCAAGAAAGTTCCTGTGACCCAGCTGAATTTTAAAACACTGCTTCTGACTAGAGTAATATGATCTTTAAAATAGCTAAGCTAAATTAAATAAAAGTGGATTAAGGAAAAAAACAGAAACAATGCAAGGTCAAGATTCAGGTTTCTTACATCTTTTAAATTGTCTATGACTTATGTATTACATCTTTTTATAAATCTATATTTTTCTTAATCAATGCAACTATTAGAATAGTTGAAAGCCAAACTTCTCTGGTTCTGTAACATGGACTACTTCTCAGAAAATTCAAATTTAATAGGATTTTTCTTGTCTGTTCATTCCTTTCCCCAACTTTCATCCCAAGCACAAACACAATTGAAATACTAAATTCTGTGTAACTATTAATATTTTTATTGTTATATTAATAACAATAATATGTTAGTAAAATGCTTTTGAGTTTACAGTATACTTTTGCACCAATATGAAGCAGCTTGAATATGTAGATCACATTTTTATGTTGACTACTTTCTCCCAAAGCACAGTCTGTTCACAGATGTACATCAGGCAGGCTAGGTTAAAAGCTTTAAAGAGCAATCCAAATATTCCCATTGCTCACTTTACAGTCCAGTGTGAATAGGCAGGGACTCTTGTTTCATTCTTTAGGGCCAGCACTGCAGTCTTTGCACCCAGGCAATAGGCAAAAAGAGAGAATGTGGAGAAAGCCACTTCCATCTGAACTTGGAACTTGTCACTTCTACTCATATTCTAGTGGGCAGAATTTGTCAGCTGGTTTCCTCTAAATTCCGGGGTCTAGGAAATGTGGCATAGCTTTGTATCAAAGAAGAGAATGTATCAATATCTGCCATAGAAAATTAGTTGAATTCCTCTTTATTTTAGGAAACAAGAATATTTTAAATAGCTTTACTTAGATTGTCATAGATCTGGTTTAAATTTTTATCATAAAAATATTCCAAACAATCCAGCCTTTCCTAGTTTCTTCAAGATTTTCATGATAATTAATTCCTTTGCACGATTCATCAGGAATCCTGAAAACAGCTAGCATCAATATAAAGAAAACATATATTTTTAGAAAAATTATCGATAGATGATTTTTCCTTCTGGAAATTAAAGAACTCTGGGTTTTATTTTTGTTTATTTTTGGATTTTGTTACTCAAATATAAATTGTGTCAAGTAAATAATTTTTAGTAATATATTGATAAGAATCATTTTTCTTAAGAAAAATTAAAAAAAAAAGACCAATTCTCAGTTTGGGAAATAAGCTATCAGAAACTAATACTTCCAGAACAGTGGAGAGGGACACAAAATGATATCATCTCCAGATTTTTCTGTGTAAATAATCAAGAAAAGAAAGGCCAATAAAACAGTGATAAGACATGACCATCTTACATCTCAGAAGTAATTATTAACTTTATTCCAATAGGTTGAAGAATTAAGAATTACCTCTCTCTCTCTTTTCCTTCTCTTTCCCTCTCTTTTATGACTTGGAAACAACTCAAGGGAAGGAAAAAGAGAAAACTTAAAGAAAAATAGTTCTAAATAGATTTGTTAAAAGTTTTGAACAAATAAATGTGCGCATTTAAATCTGCTGTCTTCAAGATTGCAAGATCTCTCTAGAATAAATCCTTAAACTGCCAAGCTTTGGAATTGTTAAACAAATTCCATATTGGATATTTTAATTTGTGTGTCTCCCAATTTTTTTTGATAAGTCTGCACATTCTGCTAATTTTCTGCATTGTAAAACATGCATTTTCAATGTAATAATAATAATAATAGGAATACACCAAATGCTATTCGGCCTTCCTTGCCCTCACAGAAAACTTTGCTTTAGAGCTTGGTTATGTAGGGATAAAGGGCAAGCACAGAGCATTTGTCCTATTGGTACACTTCCTGGTAGGGGTCAGGTTCTGAGGTCAGTGGCTGTGGGGTGGCTTTCTGATTCAGTTTCCTGATTTTGGCGAGTTCTGGGGCAATACAAGGAGTAATTCATGGAACACCTCTTGCAATCTGTTTCTTCTGCAATCCCAACAGTTTTGAGTTATCTATGTGTCTTATTAAATTTCTTTCTGATTAATATAGCTAGCATTACCCAGTCTTCTCTGAGAATCCTGACTCATCAATTATCCTTCCTTCCTACCTTCCTTGCTTCCTTCCTTTCTCCCTCCTCCCTTCCTCCCTTCCTTTCATCACTTCATCTTTCCCTCCCTTAGTATTAAATAATGCTAGTCAATAAATCCTCTATTAATAAAAATATATGTAAAAGTTAAGGTGCAGTTTTCAAAATGAAGACTTTTGATGTATTCCATAAGCATATGCCAGGTATCAGATACCCTGGCATTTCACATTGTTCCAGGCAATCCTAGTTCCACGTTTCTTCTGCATATTTCTGCAACTTTATCTTACTTGAAATAATATTTGATACCCTAAATAGTATTCCTGTAAGTGATTCTCTATATAAGAACAGGCAAAGGTATTCAAAATGTAACTTTATATTTGATAGCAGGATGATACTTTTATAAAACTCCAGAGGCTTGACAGTTGCTTATAATTCACAAAAATGAAAAGATGCAATAGGAAGATATTTATCAATTTAATCTCTCTGAATTTTGACAACATATAGATTAAAGACTAAAATATGTTTGTAAATTTAGTACAATTTCAATGATAATGTAGTTGTTCTGGAAGAAACATCTCTCATGTAATTATATGACTAACAAGAAATATTGGGACTTTATAATTAATGAAATATGATTATAATGAAGACTGATGTTGCCTTATGCATATGTAGGTTCTACA